TAATGTCCCCAAAAGAATTTGGTACGGCAGGGAAATAGGTGGGTGATATTTTAATCTATGTACTGTTCCCCAGAGAGTTCATCAAATTGGGGGCTTTCACCTTCTTTTAAAGAGACAGACTTAAAGAGAAGAACTGATTGTTTTCTTTCAGATCCCTCTGAAAAAGAACGAGCAGGGAAGTCATTCCTTGGCCTGGTTAAGACTCTGGCCGCTGAGACCCATGTGACTGTGGTACTTGGTGTACTCACTGAAGGGAGGACAACAATAAAAGCTCTTACAAACTGCAGAGGAGGGAAAGGTTGACGATGCCACTTTTCTTTTGACTAATTTGAACAGTTATTAGAGACCAGATTGGGAGAGGGATGAAGAGAAGCATTTTATTTTCCCATTAAGTGATCCATATTTTTAAAAATTGATTTTTAGAGAGAGGAAGGGAGAAGGAGAGAGAGAGAAACATCAATGTGATAAGGAAACATCCATAGGCTGCCTCCTACAAGCCCCGTGCTAGGGATTGAGCTCACAATCTGGGCATATGCCCTGACCAGGAATTGAACTGGCAACCTTTTGGTGCGCAGGACGATGCCCAATTGACTGAGCCACACCAGCCAGAGCAAAATCCATATTTTTTATTACTACTGTGTCATATGCCATGAGCAAGAGAGAAATACAAGACAGGGTCCTTGCCTCTCGAGGCACTTACAGTCTGTTTGACACTCAGTCTCTGGATGATTTATTTTTTATTAGAAAGATACACTATACCATATTGATTATGACATAGAAGCTGAACTTTGTGTTTTGGTTTGTTTTTGCAAGTAGTACCCTTTCATTCAGTTTAAAAGTCCTCTTTTCCGTCCTCCTTCTTTATTTCCTGGTCACAGTTTTTCCTCCCTGGAGCTCCACTGTTCCTGTCCTTCATGTCCTTGAGCCCCAGGAAGTTCTCTGAGAGGCCAGATGCTCTGGATTGACCTGAACTTCCCTTGGTTACTGCCTGGAATGCGGCTCCAAACCCAGACAGTGTGCATTCAGATCCCAGCCCCATCACTTACCAACTGTGTGCCCGTGGACAGGTGGCTAAATCCCTCAGGTTCCTCACTTAAAACATGGGCATAATAATACATCACATGGTTAACACAAGGCTGAAACGAATGAAGCCTTAGACTACTGACTGGCACTGCTCTTTAAGTGTCGTTAAAAACTGTTGATCTCATTCGTCACAGATCCCCTGTTTGCAAATTTGCAAACTTGCTGAAATTTATTTCAACCCCCAAATCAATGCTCGCGGTGCTTTCATGGTCACGTGGACATGTGTAGAGTGACAAAAATTTGAGTTGCCCAATTCATACACATTCCCGGCTGAAGTTGAGCAAAGTGATGACCTGGCTTCTTGTTTCAGCTCTCACACTGTAAATTGGTGTCCTTTTTTAATTTTATTTATCTTTATTGTTAAAAGTATTACAGATGTCCCCTTTTCCCCCCCCCCCCCCCCCCGTGACCCCTCCCTCCACCCTGATCTCCCCCCTTCAGGATCAGGTGCCCTTTCTGTGGCCTGTTTAGTCCGTGTTTTGTGCTTTTTGTTGGTGGTGTTACTGTTTACAATGTGCCCTCCCCTGCCCCGCCTCGTAGCGCTAAAGTGTTGTTCAGAGTTCTAAGCATGCCCAGGTGGACTGCCTTGTGGGGAAATACATGAGTTAGGTGAGCTTTGTTTGGGTGTGAGTTAATAGTGCTGCTGGCTGCAAGTTCAGTGTTAAAGCCTCCACATTTTGTGTTAAATAAGGTGTCTTTAAATGGAAACAGAGAAAATACAGTTGTGTATTGATCAGTTCACGGAAATGTGACCGCTGCTCGGGAACCTAACCCTGTATTTCCTCTAGGAGCCATGGCTCAGTCCTTGCTAATTCATTGTATACGGAGGCCCTAGAACACAGCTACCTCGGATAACAAGACTTGGCTGGAGATGATGGAGTCCAAGAGCTCAGAGTGGGAGCCTCTTGCAGGGTAAGCTCCTGACGACAGGGAGTATCCCCGGGAAGGCAGGAGGAGCAGAAATAGTTCTGGCCAGCCCTAGCTGGTTTGGCTCAATGGATAAAACATCAGCCTGTGGACCAAAGGATCCCAGGTTCGATTTTGGTCAAGGGCACTTACCTTGGTTGCATGCTCTTCCCTGGCCCAGGGCCTGTGCAGGAGACAACCAATCGATGTGTTTCTCTCACATCGAATTTTCTCTGTCTTTTCCTCTCTCTTCCACTCTCCCTAAAAATCAATGGAAAAATAGCCTCAGTGAGGATTAACAACAAAAAAAAAGAAATCATTCTGGCCAAGTGGAGTGCCTCAAGCTGGGCACAGACTTTCCTATCAGATTTGAAAAAAGGTAAAATGGAACCATACTTGACCTATTATAAGCATACGTTGTTACAGAAGAGCAATCTGGAAATAGAGAGTAAATACCTCCCTCCCCTCCCCCCAAATTCTTAATTCAGGAGCATCTCCTCTCACCCTTGTACCTATAGACGAGTTTGTAGAGAACGTTTGATACTCAGAACCTATAAATTGAAAGCCTTCCTGCAACCAGACAACAGACCCCACGCGCAGGGTATAATGCTGGGGTCCATCCCCAGCAGGTCCAGGGGTCCCCAAAGGTGTGGACGGAGTCAGCGAAGAAGGAATGACACGGAGACAGCGTTCAGTTGATCAGCAGCCTAGCCAGGATCTCCAGCCAAGTTCTGGTCAGGATCTCCAGTGAAGTTCTGGTTAGGATCTCCAGCCAGGTTCTGTGTCCATGTTCTCTTGCTAGGTTCTCCAGCCAGGTTCTGTCCAGGTTCTCCAGCCAGGTTCAGTCACCAGGTTCTAGTCAGGTTCTCTTGCCATGTTCTATCCAGGTTCTGTCTCTAGGTTCTGTCTCTAGGTTCTTCAGCCAGGTTCTCTCGCTAGGTTCTGTTCTAGGTTCTGTCCCTAGGTTCTGTGTCTAGGTTCTGTCTCTCTCTAGGTTCTGTCTCTGTTGTCCAGTTACATCTGTATTTATACCAGTTGATTCCAGGGAGTAAAGATTATGTAGCTTAAGCGTGATTGTTCGTAGTTAAAGTGATTAACTACCTGCCTGGCACTTAGTTAAGGGGTTTTATCCCCTCCCTAACTTCAGGGGAAAATCCCTACCTGGGGAAACAACCTTTCTCGGAGAGGTGACCTTGGTTAAAACACATAGCGCTAAGGGGAGCAAACATATTAAGAACAGTATGCCATATACGCCAGGTCCCTTGAAACATATGCTGTGCAGATGTTTCTTCTCTGCAGCGACTGTGTCAAGCAGCAAGGATGGACCGGCTCCCGGCAGTATAATATTGGCCATACTTAGCAATTCCCGTATGCTCGGAGCACCAGCCTTTTCAGAAAGGGGTCATTTTGTCCCTTCAGATTGAAAAGATCACAAAATGCTTCCATTTGGTGAAAAGGCTTTGATAACATATTTATTTCCCCCCAAACTCTTACTTTGTGAAATGTTTGCAAATTGTGTCACACGCACAGTCTTTGAGAATATGAAAGTGACTCAGGAAAGGGAAAGCGTCACTTAAAACGGCTGGAAAATGCGACAGGAGGGGACACGGGACGCTAGGGCACGGTGGCCATGTAATAATATGCCTCCAGCCTCTTATTTCTGCGATTTCCAGGTTTTCACCCTTTTAAACAATGTCCCAGCCAACAGCCTCCTAAATACATTGTTGCGCCTTTCAGTGCATTCATTCAGCACATGTTGAGCACAGGCTCTGGGGTAAGCGCTGTGTGCATTGCTGAATAGAACAGGCGTGTGTCCTGCTTTTGTGGAGCTTGCCTCGTGGGGGAAGGCAGTCTGGTGGGGAAGTTAACTGGAATGAATTCCTAGAAGTTGGGAGTGTAGTGTCAATGGCTATGCTCATTTACGTTTTGATTCATTTTGTCAGAGGACCCCGTTGAAGGGTTGTACCGAGTCCCAGAGCTCCCGACAACCCACACCAATGTTTGGTTCTTCTTTTTAAGTCTGTGCCAATCTGATAGATGAAATGAGCGATCATAATTGCAATTTGCATCTTTTTGTTTTTACTTAAATTGAGCATCTTTTCATGGGTGTCTTGCCATCTTTGTTTCTCCTTTTGTGGATTTGCCTTTTTATCATTACGGTGATCATTTTTTCCCCCCTCGGTTGAGCTGTAAAGGTTATAAATTTAAAATATTCACCCTTTTCATAGGTATGGCAACTGTTTCCTCACTTTTGGCTAACCTGGCTTAGGACTGCTGGTACTACAGACAAATTTTAAATTGTTGTGCAGCCAAATATGTCAATAATTTTTCCTTTGATTTACTTATTTAACAAAAATAGTGCTAAGTGCCAGGGCATTGTGGTATGTGTTTTACCAATATTATTTAAACTTCATCACAACCCTATATGAAATGGGTATGGCTCTTAATCTCCCTCCCCTGCTCCTCTTTTAAGATGAAGAAACTAGTTAGAAAGAAGTTAAGTACCTTGACTAATGTTACCCAGCTAGTAAGTGGCAGAGAATGTGAACCTAGTCCAGGTCCTGATGCTAGCCACTATGCTTCGCCGTCTCTGGCCCTTGGTGTTAGGCTCTGTGTGTATGTTTGTAGTTGCTTCGTAAATGCTCACTGAGTCTCCCCAATCCTCAGGGCAAGTGCCACGGCTTTTATTTCTCCTGGTTCCTTCCCAGTCCCCTCCACGCACTAACTGGGCAGAGAGTACCTAGATCAGGGGTGGGCAAACTTTTTGACTCGAGGGCCACAATGGGTTCTTAAACTGGACCGGAGGGCCGGAACAAAAGCATGGATGGAGTGTTTGTGTGAACTAATATAAATTCAAAGTAGACATCATTACATAAAAGGGTCAGGGCAAGTGCCACGGCTTTTATTTCTCCTGGTTCCTTCCCAGTCCCCTCCACACACTAACTGGGCAGGGAGTACCTAGATACTTCATAAATACTTGTTGATGGAATGAATTGACTTAATCTGGATTCTGGATCATCAGCTCGCACTGTGTTTATGCTCAAAGAGGAGTTGACAGGTTCTATATTTCCCTTTTGCCTCCGGCAGGCGACTTGATAAGCGCAGGTTTGGCTGGGCACCTGAGCTCATGCACTTCACTCCACTGGTTCAGCTGTACTTTCCCTTCCCACACACCCCTCCTTCCCTCTTCAAATAAACTTCCTGGCTCTATTCCCTGCTGGAGAAATCTAATAAGCCTTTTCCCAGGCGCCACCCTTCAGGACCTGTCACGCAAACACCAAGAATGCACGAGAGGAAAACCCCGAGAGAGGAGGACCAGAAACTCCAAGTGATGCTTGGCCGAGTCTTGGAACTCGCCAGGAGGCGGAGGGGCTTCCAGCTGTGGTGCTGGGTCTCTCCTGCAGGGAAGAGAAGGAAGTCAGGAGCTTTTTTAATCATTACAAAGTGCATTCTCATGTTAGCTCAGAGACTCTTCATCAGCCCATGATGGAGTTATCTTTGCCATCATCTCTCCCTCCCTTTCTTCTCATGTTCAAGCATTGGACAGATCCTCTTGGTTCTTCCTTTGAATGTTCTTGTGCATTCATTTTTTCCAGTCTCCCTGGCTAGTCTCTAATTCATTGGGTCTCAGAGTACAGTCCAGTGATGGCGAACCTTTTGAGCTCGGCGTGTCAGCATTTTGAAAACCCTAACTTAACTCTGGTGCCGTGTCACATATAGAAATTTTTTGATATTTGCAACCATAGTAAAACAAAGACTTATATTTTTGATATTTATTTTATATATTTAAATGCCATTTAACAAAGAAAAATCAACCAAAAAAATGAGTTCGCACGTCACCTCTGACACGTGTGTCATAGGTTCGCCATCACTGGTATAGTCCCTGGACCAGCAGAGGCAGCCATCATCTGGGAGCTGGTTGGGGATGTGAATTCTCAGGCCCAGCCCAGACCTACTGAATCAGAAACGCTGGGGTTGGGGACCACAAGCTGTGTTTTAATTGCCCTACAGGTAATTCTGATGCACACTCAAGTTTGAGAATCCCTGCTCTCGAATGCACCCTCCTTTCTTTATGAAAACATTATAAATGTAATGGGTGCTCATGGTAGAAAAGTTGGAAACAAGACAAGGATGAACGAATTAGGCAAACATCTTACCCCATAATTCTACCACTTAGAGGGAACCACTGTTTTAATATTTTAGCATTTTCTCGAATTAAAAAAAATATGTTAAAAATAAATAATCTTTATTCCCTTTTGGATGGGTTCTGCAGTGCTTTCTGAGTGCTTCGGCCTGTTTTTGGTCTTCGTTTTCTCCTTTCCTCCTCCAAAATTCGTCCCGGGCCCATGGTCCCTTCCACTTTCTTTCCCATCCCCCTCCTTCAAATTGACATATACTTGACACAGGACACTGTGTGTAAGTTTAAGGTGCATAGCCTATTGATTTGGTATGTTTATATTGCAATATGATTGCCATCATAGCTTAGCTAACTCCTTTATCATGTCACATAATTTTTTCTAGTGTTCGGAACAATTAAGAGCTAGATATCCTCTTTCCAAAGTCATCTCCCTCCCCTCCCTAGTCCTGTTGTACCATATGGTTCCACCATGCCCCCTGCCTCAGCTATTTGGAGGGGGTGGGCAGAAGGGATTAGTCACCTGACTCAGGCTAAGCCAATCAGATGATTTCTCTGAGAATTTGAGCTCTTGTGGAAGACTGAGGCAGTCTGAAGGTGGTGGATTCTAAAGTCAGAAGGTCCTCAGGACTTGGTAAGCGAGCAGAGGAAGCCAGCCTGCAGGGAGGAGTGTGGAGCAGCTCTGTAGAGGGAAGCAGTAAAGATAATATGGAAGAGAGAGATGGAGACAAAAATTACCTGATGATGACTTTTCAGTTCTGCGCAGCCCAGCTGTGCTGCTTGCCCTGGGCTGACCCAAGCCTCCTCTTACGTACCAGTCTTCCCAGGCCTGCCTCAGATTCCTCCTTATATTTGAAAGTCCCTCAGGCCTTCCCACCAGCAGCAAGTGCTCTCACTGCTCATCTATTCAGTTGTTACTGCCTGGAGCAGGATCACCGGGCTTTACACTGAACCATTCCATAAATAATCATATTGGCCACATAATCAGCGATGGGGGAGGGGCTTTAATGTTCCAGGGCAGAGAAGCATGTTGGAGAAGAAGGCACAAAACATGAGGGGGAGAGGAATTCCTCTCCGGGCTGGAGTCTGGGTGCTCACTCTTCATCCCATTCCCAGATGGGGCTGCAGAATGGTCCCATCCAGTCCTCAGTCAGGAAATAAGTGTTGCCCACAGCGAGTTCTGGGGCACACATATAATTCTGCTGTCAAAGGTGTTTTTAAACAGCTCCACTTGTTTCTTTGAGGTTTCTAAGGATCTAAGGCACAAGGGTACTTTTTGAAAGTTCAAGAGGGGAATTAAGGAGGTTGTTCCTAAATGAATTTGGCCCCTGCACCCTTTTGTCAGGGAGCATGTCCCCGAGCCAGGATTCTATGGAATTACAAGGTAAAAAAGTCACACTACGCCTGCCTTTGGCTTTCAGTAAAGGGCTGATCCCCCATTTAAGACAGACAGACTGGCAGGCAGGCAGACAGACATGTGTACTCTGCCCTCCAAATCAGGCCTGGCTGGTCCACACTTCAGGCCACATTTGTAATAGCAGAGAGAGAACTTAAGGAATATGCTTGAGAATGGGAGAAACAAACCAAAAACAAAAAACAAACCACCCAGAAGAAGAAGGCGAGCTAATAAAAAGCAGCTTACCTCACCACACTCCACCCTCTGCTTATGGCTTCTCCTGGCCCAAGGCTTGCTCATCTTTTAAGTTTTTGTTCACCTGGGATGGCTGGTTCAGTCACTGGAGGCCAACAGCTTGCACGGAAAGAATGACACGTGCAGTAACCTTCAGATCACATCCTCTCAGTCTGAACTCTGAGAAAGAAGGAACGTGCTGGGGTGGAAATAACATGCCACCTCTACTTAACGTAAAGAGATTTCTAGCTATGGTGTGAGTGTGGTTGGGGGTTGGGGGGCCTGTCCTGGCTGGTAAGGTGTGAGGACAAAGGTCTCTCCCCTTGGCTCCTTTGATGGGAGATTCAGCTCTCCACTGATATGCTGATGAGGGGTGGGACCTGCACTAGGCTGAGCTCCTGTCCTGGCTTTGTTACCAGTTCTGACTTCAGAGATGATCTAGTTTGTTTCTCTGACCTCATACCTTTGCTTCGTGGCTCAGGGTAGGTCACATCCAGTGCTCAGTAATGAACGGGGTGGGACTGATGAACTCCGGCTGCCCTTCGGCCTCCACCTCTGAATCATCTTGTGGTTGAGATTTGCCATGGTACTTGGTAAGTAAGGAGGCCTGTGGTGAGAGTCCTTGCTGAAGACTTGCCACCCACCATCTTAAGGGGAATGACTCTTAGATTAACTGGGGGTTCTTTCTTTTTTGAAATAAGAAAACGACAATAAAAACCTTCCGACACCCTGTGGGACTTATCTCCCCCTTTGGCTAGGTTATAAAGTACTGCAAGCTGGAGAGGTTTCTGAGGGAGGTCACTCGGGCCTTCTTACTGGTGGTTCTGCAGTTTTCAGATCGCTCCCTCCCATCGGGTTCAGGTCGGGGTGGCAGGAGTGACCTGGTCTTCTCTTATGTGTTGCAACCTGCTGATTTGGCTGCGTGGGAGAGTTGTGCAAACATATTTTTATTTATGTCACCACCAGGGTGTCCTGTAGGAGGACTCTCCTCTCCAAGGCTGCTACTAGGTGTGACTTTAGCAGCCGGTGGCCATGCTTTAGGGAGGAACCTAAAGACTTGGAGTGGTTGCTGAGCTATTTGCTGGGGGCCCCTGTGAATTGTTGGGCTCTTGAGAGCTCAAAATATGAAGGAGAGGAAGCTTTTTGCTGGAGGTTTAGAAGTGGGTCGGGCGTTGAGCACAAGCCACTGGAGAGGCTCTATTGGCGCGGCCTTTAGGATGGGGCTCTTGCGCTGTAATCCGTAATGGCCATCCTCCCTCCCTTGGCAGACAGGCGTCTGCACTCGACCAGGGGAGCGGCCACCTGGGCCTGAGACTGCGGTGCCTTTGTGCCTTTTCTCTCGGGGCACGAGGTGGGCGCTGGGGGAGCTCTGGGGAAGGCCCTGGGAGTCCCGCCAGGACGCCTTAGTTGGGGAGAAGTGGAATCTCTTCTCCCCCTTGCCAGCCTCGCCCGCATCGTAATTCTTTTTATTTTTACTTTCGAGCCATGTAAGGTATGCGGATGGGGTAGTAGCGTTCCGGAGACACGTAGCCAGCGGCGCAAAGCCGGCCCGCCCGCGTGGCCTGAGCCCGGGGTAGAGACAGGCCGTGCGCCTCTGGCCCCACCAGCCACGCCGCCCACGGTCGGGGCTGCCCCAGGTCGTGGAACCCTGAGCCGGCCACCCATGCCCCGCGGTGCCGCGGGAGACGAATCCATGCGGCCCAGCCCGGCCTCGTTCCCGGCTGCGACCTGGGAGCGCCTAGGCGAGAGGCCGATCGTTGACCGGGGGGAGCAGGCAGGGCTGGTCCCGGCGGGTCCGCACCCTGCGCCCCAGGCCGCCCGCGGCCCGGCCCACGTTTTCCCTCTCTCCCGCTCCCTCCGCCCCCTGCGCTCCGTCCCTCCCCTTCGCTCC